TCTAGGGACCCTAACCCTGAACCCCAAACCCTGAACCTCCAACAACTTAAACCCAAAACGCCAAACTCCGCAGCCCAAACCCCTAGCCCCAACTCTAAACTTATGTTTGCCTAGCAGCTTCAGCTTGTCTGTACTATAGAAACCTTGCATAATTATCAATAAAATATTTACATTATAATACACGGATGAATAATAATGAATGTACATAGATATACATATATATATACATATGCATGTATGTATGTATGTATGTATGTACGTACATAGACATATGTGTATATATATATACATATTCATTCATTCATTCATTCATTCATTCATTCGTTCGTATATTCATATGTACATTCATTTGCATAAACATGTATACATGTGTTATAGTTATATATATATATGTACATAATATATCATACGCAACTTATCTATCTATCTATCTATCTATATTATAAATATATATATATATACACAATGTATATAGGTATGTATATGCATAAGTATGTGTACATGTCTGGAGCCACAGCGTGAGCTCGCGGCCGCTGCGTCCGAGGCTTCCGCGCGCCTCACCTTGCTTGTCCGGCTTAGGGGTTGACGGTGTAGGGCTTACCTCGACCCGAAGAAACCTACATGTTGTGGGTTCCTTAGCATGAGCTTCCTTTGTCTGAGTCCTTGAAGGATAGGTGACTTGGGGTTTAAGGTAGGGTTTAGGGTTGAGGGCTCAGGGTTTAAGTGTTTTCTGGTAAATTTCTCGGGGACTCATGGATAGGGTTTGCGTGGGCTTTACGTACTGGCACTGTGGCAGCTTGGGATGTGGAGTTCTGAATCTCTTCGGGTTAGTGGAACCTGCGGACCAAAAACCCTACCTTGTTAAGGAAGTCGATAAAGACCTACGAAAGGCAGCAGTCCCCGAACAAAAGCGCACCCTGAACTTAATCCGTGAAGCCGGGCAGCGAAGCCAGTACTACGAGAGAAAGCGAAACACTTGGGGCCGATGACTGTGAAGGCTGGAGCAAGTTTGTAGAGGCCTGTGGGGCGAAGAAAGGCCTGGACAAGAAGCAGCAAGCTTTTTGCAAATCGCCCCTTCGTCACTGCGATGAAGGGGATCACCGCCCGTTATCATCATCGGCAACACCATGTTCACCATCGGCATTATTGTTACCATCATTGTCACCACCATCGTCAGCACCATCATCACACTCACACATCATCGTTCTCGCCATCGATACCATCCTCGTCATCATTGTTATCATCTCGTCATCGTTACTACCATGGTTATCACCACTGCCGTTTTCTTCATCATTGCTATCACCACCGTTGTCATCATCGTCATCAACATGTTGAGTGGGGGGGGGGGGTTTCGGGGGGCTTGGGCCCTACACAGGGTAGGCTTTTGTTGAGGCTCTAGGAAGGGTTTACACTCAAAATGTTTCGGCCCCAAAGACCGACCCTCCTTGGTACAGGGTTTAGGGTTTGGGGCCTTGGGCCCCTACGGTTTTGGTGGGTTTTACCAGTGTAGGTATAGTAGGGACTAAAGGGCTCAAACCTCGCCACATGGCCTTTCGGAGTAGGCCTGATCTCTAAGTAAAGGGATCTCTCTCTTACCCCAGGAGTCCACGTACCCAAATAGTATATGCTCTGGCCTTAAAGTAGTCCCTACATAGGTACGTTGGGGCCAAAGTTTGTACGGCGACGATTTTTTTAAGCATGCGGACCTCCAAATATTTAAACAAACAGTTTTATGCCACCTCCGCGGCCTGCCAAGTCTGTTTACAATGGTTATCCTGCGGGTTTCTGAATATGCGGAACATGTGGGTAGTTCTCTAAATTAAGGTCCCTTTGTCGGTCCCCAATATGGTACGGCACCCTTTTAAGAAGGACCCTAGAAGGGACCCTACCTTAGAGAACTACGCCACTTTTATGCTACCTCCTTGGCCTTGGCGGTCCGGACACCCCTTCGCGTCTTGAGAAAAGTTCACCGTACTACTTGGGCACATGGACCCTTAGGGGGTTTTTAGGGTACAGGGGCTTAGGGATAAATCTACCACACCCAGGAGCCTAAATCCCCCCTAGAACCTCCAAACCCAAAAGGCCCGCAACGCAAGGACCTCCATCTTTCGGGAACTGTGACACTGCTTGCGCTGAGCCCAGGAGCCGGATCCAGGTTTAGCTGCGTCAGCTTCAGCTGCGCGTACCTCCGGAGGGCTTAGGCTTTCGGGTTCAGGGGTCAAGGGGCTCGGCTTAGGTTTTAGGCTTTCGGGCCTTTCAACTGGGTTCTTGATTTCATTTAAGTTACCATAATAAGGAAACCATATTAGTTACTATAGATCCCTATTATGGTAACTTAAAATAAATCCTTTAACAGGAACCCACTCAATCGGGGGTCTCGTTTGAGAGCTTCGGCGTCTCTCCATCGCATGAACCCTGAGCCTCACAGCCTGAATGAAGACTCCGATGCCTGAGTAATTAGAATTAGAGCACTTCTTCCCCAAGGCCCGTTCGGGTCTTCATAATGGAGCAAAACCGGCTCCAACTAGCAACGCTCCTGATTCATAAACTCTTATACCAAATCCTGAAAAGCCCTCGCATTATTATACCAGCACGAGAACGCCTTTTACCTCCGTTTCTACTTATCAAGGCTCTTAGACTAAGCCCTAAACCCCTAAAAAACCCTAAACCCTAAACCCCTAAGCCCTAAACCCTAAACCCCTAAGCCCTAAACCCCTAAACCCCTAAGCCCTAAGCCCTAAACCCTAAAACCCTAAGGCAGCTCACATGGCCATGGGGTTCTCGGCATTGAAGGGTCGCTCCTGTGCAGAAGGTTTCGGATCTACGGCTTGGAGGTCAGGAGCTTAGGCCTTGTCTAGGGGTTTAGGGCTTAGGGCTTAGGGCGCAGGGATTTGCGGTTCAGGGTTTAAGAGTTGGCTGGTTAGGGATTAAGGGGGCCTTTGCTGGTTTACCTGTGGCCGTGTCTGGGGGGTCGTGACCGATTATTCTGCACTGCTTGGAGGGTTTTGAGTTCGGCGGCAAGGTACATGGGTACATGGGGAGTTCTTTAAAGTAGGCTCCCTAAAAGGGACCCTAATTTAGAGAACTACCCACATAGTCTAAGGTTGACGGGTCAGGGCTTAAGGTGTGCGTTTGTTACGGGGCTTTACAGGTCTAGGCGATCAGAGATTGGAATGAGGGCGGTTGGAGTCTATCTTGCTGCTACCCTTATGATTCCTGAAGTACATCTTGCCACGGTTTCGGGTTTAGGGTTTAGGGTCAAGGCTTGCCAAACTGCTACTACTGAACTGAACTATGCTTAAAGACGAGGCTGCTATGACCTAGGACCATTTTACGGAGTTCTTTTCGCACACCGTTCGTTCTCTTACACTCGTAAAGGAGTAATTGCTCTTCTAATGTAGTGGCCGAAAAAATAGAATAGGGTGTTGGGGAAAAACATTATTATAATAAGGAGCCCCCAAAATGGTATAGGTAATTAAGGCGCCTATATTACTCTTAAGAGTTCCAGCAGCAGGAAACCACTAAGAACCTGCAAAACATTATTTTGTCAGACAACATCCAAATAACAGCAACTCAGAAAAGCATCGCCAAAACAAGATGACACAGATGCCAAGCTTGCGTGCAGACACCAGCACGAATCACAACGGGATAGAGAAGATCAACATGCTGATCACTGAGGCTCTCGATCCACTTATCCTCAAACTCTGCGCTGTTGCACTGTTGGTGGCCGCATGGCATGAGAGTAGGTCGGGTATTTGCGGATCCAGGTCGGGTATTTGCGGATCCGTGTCGGGATTGACAGCTTCGGCCCTTCGGCTGTAAACTTGTCAAGACGCGAACCTGAAGATGCACACGTTTTCACCAAAGCTATAACAATAACAACAGCACTGGCCTCCTGCAAAGATGCTTACTCCGAGGGCCCCATGGCTTTAACTATTCCTTAAATCGCCCCTACATGTCCAGCCCGGACTGCGAGACCTGCCAGGCCTCAACATAGCTGCTACTGTGCACCGAATTGCGAGGATTCTCGCTTTCTTCTGCTGCATCCAGGAATCTTGTGCGCCGACGTCACAAGGACCACAACGATCACTGCTAGAATCGACAGTATACTAGACATACTAGAGAAGAAGTCTCGGATTGCAAATCAACACTCATTGATGATCCCCGGCTGCCTGCAGAATCACGGGCCGTGCTAACATAGGGACCTGCTTCAGAAACCCTGGGTCTTTATTAAGGCTCTTCATCTGAATCCTAATATTTTGGGTGTTATAGGGCCAGGGTTTCTTAATCAGGTTCCTGCACAGCCTACACGTCGCTTCAGAGAGCAGGCTCGAAGTCCACAGCCCTCGGTACTGTTACTAGATCTTGCTACTTTTATATCACTCCGTGGGGAAGACCGTGTCCCTGAAGGCCAGGCGCGACAGGGGCGCGCTTGCGAACACTTCAAAGCTGCAGACTTCGAAAAGGGCATTTATTACAGTATGGTTGTTTTAGATCGTTCAGACTCCCTAAGACCTAAACTCCTAACCCTAAACCCTAAACCCTAAACCCTAAAGCCCAAACCCCTAATCATATAGCAATTGCTCGGGAGTCTGCATTCCCAGGAAGGCCCTCAGGAGGATCGCCGAAAGCCTGGGACCCGACAACTATTGGGCAAATTCCCGTGCGGTACTGATGGGAACCCGGAGCACCCAACTAGGGCCCCACCATTTCAGATTCCGGGGCTAAGGTAGGATCTTCAGGTCGGTGTCCACCCTACCTTATTCCTAGGTAGTATTAGGGAGACCCCTTAAAGGGGACCCTTCTGAACCCTACTTGTAGCTCTCTTACAGGGCACCTTATTGAGAGGGTCTATATCCCCCACATTCCCCCTAATCCTAACTCCCACTTATGTCCATGGTCAAAAAGATGTCAATTCATCTACCACGGGAATAAGGCCTTCCAGCATGCCACAGAGCTTCTCCAGAAAAGCAGCTGTGGCACGAGTGAGCCAGCACAAGTCACATCTGCAACCGGTGACTCGCGAGCAAGCTGTACGCTGGCATTGCTCTCGCTATCGCATCCGCAATCTCTGCGGGAGCTTCGGTGCTCTTTCGTTCAACCCTTGTCGGTTTGAAACCGGTCGATCGGTTTGCATTCTCGAAGAAACCCGCCCAAATCTCCGGGTGAGGCGGCAAAGGCGCCGTCCAGTGCAACATGCGCTCGTCAAAGTCCAGGCCAAGGTGACCTAGGAAGCTGCGGAGCACGGCTTCAGGCTGCTTCATGAGATCATCGTGGTCGATAACCGGCGGCACTTGATGCAACTCCTTGGTGACGTACTCAAACATCGCCACTAACTCACTATAGCCCATCTCAGTCTCATTGAAATAGGAATAGCCGGTACTCTCTGGATCCTTGCAGGCACGGAGCATGGAAGTCATTGCTGGCTCAGGGTGTCGGATCAGAAAGCTGTGCTTCACCTCTGCCATCTCCTTGGATCTCCACCATCGCCGGGGGAGCGTGACAGCAAAGTCCTTGGCAAAGCTCACGCTTTCGCCGCCTGGGGGGTTGAGTAGCTGATCCCACATCTTCTCGTAGGTGTATTGTGGGTCTGCAGGAAGGTCCGTATGCCTGGGGTGTTCCCGCTCGGGGCCCAGATAATACACCGACACGAACGGCTCAAAAAGAACCTTTGTGTCACTCCGCTGCAGAAAAGAACGGCTGAGAGCAGACGATCCCGACCGCATGATCGACCAAAGGATGATGCGAGTGGCATTTGGCTGCCCGCACTTGTCAGCCACATCAGCGGCCGTTGTACTGGCCGTCATTGCAAACAAACAACAGAGCAGTCTAAAGAGCCAAGAAGATGCCATGGCTGAAAGCGATTTCGAGAATCTGCGATGACTACCTCTAAAGTAAGGAAGGATGATGCAGCTCGGACCACCAGCGGCAGAACGAATCGAGGCTACTTGCGTTCCTGGCTGCAGGACTCAATCTAACGTCGTTCTGGAAGTCTGGAAGACAAAGGTTTCGAGCTTAATGAGTGGTTGGGCTAAATGTGCTCACCATCCGAAGTTCCAACAGCATGACACGTGTTGATGTAAGCTCCGTCGTCAACGGCGATATGGCCATGCTTGCTAGGACTGCTGGGGATTTGAATCCTGATTGTAACCATTTCCCTCTAGCATATCCATTCCCTGCGGTGAGGGCAAAGAGTGCTTGGCCCTTTAAAGCTTCGTCCCAGTAAGGTCTCGGCCGATGCCAGCAGCTCGTAGATAACAACGCCCATAGCCCAGACCTACGATCGTGAAGGCTTTAACATAAGCCTCTTGGGCTGAAGGGTTCCTTGAAGGGTTCCTTCCAATTCATCCATAAAAGGGTTCCGGGTGTCTGATTTAGGGCTATATTGCAATGTAAATAAACCGGGACTACGGGGTGGATACTTTTGCAAGTTCAGACCACTGCATTAAGATTCGGGTCTTCCTTCTTTGCTAGGCCTTGGGAGCTGGCAGGTTTAGGGTTTTCAGGGTTTGGGCTTGAAGGGATTCTTGGTGCTTGAGGTTTGGAAAATATTTGCGGGCATGGTGGGGTTCAGGGATCGTGCATCTAGGGTTTTCCGGCCTCTGAGGTTTTGGGCTTCCGGGGCTTTACGGGCTAGAGTGTTGCGGCTTGCGTTTTGACTTGGGAAGAATGGTCTTTGAACGCTTCTTTCGAATGGCCTACTAAGCACTCAATATACCTGTACGGCAGCTTCCCCTGTTGGTCCTGTTGGTGAGGATCTAGTTGAAAGCGCCGTAGGTCAATTTTTCTTCCATTCCTTGAGGGCTCTAGGCCTCAAGGGCTCAAGGAGTTAAAGCTTTAGCTCTTTAGGCTGACTTTAACCGGTTTGATTGCCTCCTGTTGCATCTGTGGTCGAACGTGGAACCCGAAATCCTTGAACGAGCCATCATACGACTAAAAGAGACGGTTTGGGGCTCCCGAGGTACTTCAAGAACCCTTAAACACCAAGACTCCCAAACCCTCACAGACTCTGGTGAAATATGTTTCGGCAAGGGCCACCAGGTTTAGGGCTTATGGGGTTTAGGGTTTAGGGTGGACGTGTTTTAGAGCCGTCGGATATGAGGCTAGGGCTTTCGTGGCTTAGGGCTTGTTGCGTACAGCGCGGGCTTCGGATTGAGTTCAGAACGCCGGCTAGGAAGGGGTACCTAAACCCAAAACCCTAAACCGGGTACCTAAATCCTAACCCATTCAGCAAATTCTTTTCCGTCGCACTCTTCGACGCCTACAGACAAAACCCAAAACCTGAACACTAGACTCAAAACACCGAAAACCCGGACACCACTCCGGAACCCCCAACGCGAAAGCCTCAAGCAAGCCTAAAGCATCCGTCAAGAAATAAGCAAGATGTGAACTCGAACAAGATGATCTTGCCCAGGTAACATATAATAATATAATTATAAGCCCCTCAGACCACTAACCAACGGCGATCAGATGCCTCAACAATTAGAATAGGCCTTGGGGCGTGTATACACCATCATTAATCACAATAGGAACCCTAAGCACTGGTTTTTCTATTTCTTCTGATCCCTACAGTACGCCAGGACCCTGCGCCAGCGCAAGCCCAAAAGAGTACTACGTATACTTCTTCCGAGCCCTCATAGCCCGAAGCGTGCGAAACTGCTAAACACTCTCACGAGGTCGCCACGTCCGATACCGCCGTAGTTTCGTTGGAGAACACCTCGGGTGCCATGTACCTTCCGCCATTTAGGGCCCACAAGGCGGCTAGATGCCCCAAACAAGGAACTACAGACAAAACCACAAAGAACACAGAATGAGGGCTTAGGGTCGGGGAGAGGGGGGGAGGCCAGCCTGTCCCAAAGGATAGGTGAACGCTGCAGCCTGAAGCCCTGAACTTCCGACAAAACGAAGGCCCCCCCCAAAATAATAATAATAATAATGCTAGGTAGTAACAATAATAATAATAATGATAATAATAATAATAGTAATAATAATAACAATGATAAACAGTAATAATACTAACACTAACTCTACTAATCATAATAATAGTTATTTTTCTTACAGACCTTGAAACCATACCCCGAATGCTGAGTCCAGAACGCCACGCCCCTCTTAAAGCGTCAACTCCAAACCCTGCAACTCGAAACTGAAAAACAAGAGTGGCGATAGGCAGAAGGCGTGGGAATACTCGTGGTAGCAGCCACAGAATTAAACCCCAAACCCTAAACCGTTCTTTGTCACGGTAGCAATAGCCTGCAATCTTCGAAAACCATTAACTCCCAAAACGATCAGCATGTTGAGAAAGATAGGGAAATCATATGTACACATCATCACCATTGGACCATCAAGGCCGTCATGCAATCATCACGACTGTCATCAACATCATCATCGCCATCATGACCATCACCACCACCATCAACACCACCATCATCATCGTAATTCTACCTCTAGTCACGATCAGTAGTCAGTCATATCCACTAGCCACAACACAAACTGGGACCGTGGTGAATTAGTCGAGGCAGCATCTAGGAAGCAAACATGCTCATCACCATTTACAGTGGCCCTCACAGTGTATCCCCGGTATGGTAGCTTGAATGACACTCCATAAAAACCAGGACCCTTCAAGCTTATAAGCTTCAAAACGCCCTACATTCAAGCAAGCTCCTAAGCAAGACCAGCTGTAAAGACCAAACCCTAAACCCTAAACCCCACACGGCCCCACACCCCAAACCCCTAGCCGAGCCAGCACGGCGCACGCCACGGTTCCCTTCACCACGGCGCTGGCACACTCCTGGAAGATTTCGGCCACCTTTGCGAGCGTTTAGGAAACCTAAGCCCTAAACCCTAAACCCGAAACTTTAGGAAGCCTAAACCGTAAACCCGAAACCTTAGAAACCCTAAACCCTAGACCTTAAAAACCCTAAACCTTAAACCATTTAGGGGTTTAGGGATGTTAAGTGGGGCATTTGGTCAGCGTTTGTGGTTAAGTGCCCCCGGATGCCCCCGGGCTCTGGGGGTGCAGGACCCAGAAAACAAACGCCGGCTGCGACAATCGCTGCGAAGCTTGGGTTTAAAGGTTTAGGGTTTGGGGTTTCATTAGGGGCAGGGTATAAGGTTTAAAGATACAGGGTTCAGGGTCTTGGATTTTTAGATTAGGGCTTAGGTGGGAGAGCTTTATCAAATATATTCGGAAACGTCAGCTTTGTCTAAGGATCGTAGAATCCTCCACCCTGGAACCTGTCATCAACTCCAAATCGACGAAGGCCCTAAACCTTAACCGTACGGTTGATGCCATAAACGCAATAACATAAGGAACATACCATGATTGTTATAGGTTAGGGTCCTTAAGGCAATGCAGGATTTATATCATCAACACTAGAATCCGGACTGACCCCTCTGTGTGGACATGTACCCAGTCCTCCCCGGCTTCCAGTGCTTAGTCGCAGGCGCCAAAGTCTGCCAGCAGCAAACCTCCCCAAAAGTTCACTTCCTAAACTCTAAACCCTGAACCCTAAGCGCCTATGCCCTGAAACCTTGCATTTTGGGTTCCTTTACGGCTTACTCTAAGAGTCCCTTTAGGGCTTAAGCTGGTATAAAGGGTTGAGGGCTGTCTGTCCGCCTTCTGGGAGAGCCGAAGGCTGTAAACATCAGGATGTATGCTTTGCGGCTTAGGCTCTAGGGGTTTTGATAGAAACCCTAAACCCTAAAACCCCTAAACCCCTAAACCCCTACAGCCTAAACCCTAAACACCTAAAACCCCTAAATCCTACACCTGATGCCCCATGGAGGCCTAGTAGGCTTAGTAGGCTTCGCAGGCGATGAGTCCAGGACATGTTCAGGTGGGTAGCTACCGTTCTATGAGCCTTATAGAAGGTCTATATACCTTAAAGAAGCCTTATAGAAGCCCTATAAACCCTAAACTCCCCACCTGTAGTTTCCTTGAAATGAGGCTCTAGAGGATAAGGGTCCCGAGAGAAGGGACCCGGGGCCCGGGAGGGACTTCAAGTCTTCCAATGGCTTTTTTTGTTGGTGGTTTAGGGTTTTAGGGTTTAGGGTTTAGGGTTTAGGGTTTTAGGGCTTTAGGGTTCAGGGTTTAGGGTGTAGGAACCTCCTAAATACCCTAAACTCTACACTCCCTGAATCCTGAAGACAGGTTCTTCGGATAAGGCCTCCGGTGTTTCTGATCTGTAGTGGAAGATTGGGCTAGTGTTTCCTGGTTCCTATATCTTAATTCGATCCTCGACTACAGTGAGCTTCATAGCTTCTAAACCCTGTCGCCTGCCTCCAAGACTTAAAATCCTCAATTTTAGACAGTACATGCTGCAACCTACACCCTATACCTTGAACTCTAAAGCCTAAAACCCTAGACCCTGCACATTACAGGATCGGTGGCGCACGCCAAGACGCTCCAGAGCTTGAGGCATCTTCAGCTTCGGTGCTTCGGTGCTCTCAGGGTGCGCAGGTACGGGCTTGCGGTTTAGGCCTTAGAGGTTTAGGGTTTAAGGTTTATAGGGTTTAGAAGTTAAGGTTTAGAGGTTAGGGTTTAGGGTCAGAAAGGCCCGACAGTGGTTCAGCAAGCTCGGGGATTTCGAGGCCGAGGTGTTCCGTCAAGCCAGCCGCTTGATGTCTTCCGCTGACACCGTCTGCAAGAAATCCTTGATCTTCTTCACCGCCTCCTTTGTCATATCCTCTTCGTCGGGGTCCTCCAAAAGCCTTTCGCCAAGGCGTTTGCCTCTCTCATACACAGCTTGCGCACCAATCCTCGCAGGTTTTCCTTCTCGTCAACGGTGAGCTCCTGATGGCCCAACCCCAAAGTAGCAGCAACCTGACACCGGACCCTAGACCCTGGACCCGA